TGTGGATGGATATGAACCTTCAGAAACTAATAGGAGGGAAGAGGGATAGGCGGGGGAGGGGGAAGGTTGCAGAAGTACTCTGAAAAACAATGAAGAGATTTAGCAAACTGTACTGTGATCAGCATTCTTTTCAGGTGGATTAAAACATCCATTATTCTCTTGACATCTGGTATGTTACACTTGACCTGCCTTTGAACCTTCTCAAAGGCAGCTCACCTCCCAGTGACTCAAACACATAGAATTCTTTCTAACAATGGTTCAGACTCCACCTTGCAAGTCTTTCAGGCAGTCAAAACAGGAAGACTGCTTTTGTATGGAAAACAAGAAAAAATTGACATTACTACCACACAATGAGACTATTGTATGACCCAATAATGCACTTTGGTGACTTAACAACCTCAGTTTCCAAAATAAAACAGGTTAATCTGTACGTGGTCTGTTTATACCGCATTCTTGTGGATTTTATGAACCATGCACTATTGTTTAACAGAAAGACCACATAGAGAACATCACCTTATACCCATTCACTTACCCACTTTGTTAGTGGCGCAGCTCCAAGGTCAGTGGCAAAGTGGCAGAGAAGTAAGGTTGGTGATGTTCCTGGTGGTGCATACCATTGATAAAAGTGGTCTAACTCCAACAACAACAACAAATTATATTTATAGATGTCCCAAGGTGCTGAACAGTCAAGGATTTGCAGTTTTCCACTACACTGAATGCTCCTCTTTGAGTGTAGTGGAAAACTGAATTGAATCTGTTCCCAATTGTACAAAATACAACTGATGTTAAGGCTGATAGATTAATGCTATCAGAGTAGACTGCAGAGATTGGGTCTTTTTCGCTAAAGACATGTTCAAGGGGGGAATCTAATACAAGTGTTTAACGTCCTGTAAATCTGTGGTTAGAACACTCGCCTCACAGGCAAGAGGACCTGGGTTCCCAGGCAGAGGAGAAACGTTGGGCAAGTTTCCTTACTCCACATGCCTCTGTTTACCTAACAGTACCTGGTTGTTAGTCGATTGGTGGGTTGCTTTTCCAGGCATAATAATCCCTTCAAAAAATAATTTTAAAAAATAATAATTTGGTCACACGGATGTTTGTGGGACACTGCTGTGCATAACTGGCTGATACATTTCGCCCACAAAATATACAGTCAATTCATTTTACATGATATTCTGTGAAGCGCTTTGAGATGTCTAGAAGACATGATAAGGCACTATAACAAATGCAACGATTATTATTATTTTGCTAAGATGGGTTCCATAAAGTTAATATAAATAGGCTGTTTCCACTGGTACGAAAATCTGTAACCAGGATACACAAACATAAGATAGTGACTAACAGATCAAAATGAAAATTTAAGAGGAACTACTCCATGCAGAGCATAGTGAGATCGTGGAACTCGCTGCTGAAGCAAAGGTTGAATCAGATACTGTAGATGCATTCAAGAGGAAGCCAGATCTTCACATGAGGGAGAGGTGAATAGAAGAGTATGGAAGGGAGGAAAGGAATGGGTGGAGTATAAACTCGTATGGAGTATAAACACTGGCACAAACTGGTTGAGCCAAGTAGTTTGTTTGCATTCAGTACATTCTTTGTAAATTTTTCGCCCTGCCTACAGCACAGAGACAACGCCTCTCCTCCCTCATCCACCTTTGTGGGACCGCACTCGCATGGTTCGGGTCCTACATAACCAACCACCTCCATTTCATCTCAGCAAGTAGTTTCTCTCTGCCCCTGACCAGTCACCTGCAGGGTATCCCAGGACTCCATCCATGGCCCCCTTCTTTTCCTTATCTATATGCTTCCTCTGGGTGATATATGCGGATGACACACAAATCTATTTTGCCTCTTCCAGTACCAACTCCAGGTCTGCTGATGTTCTATCAGCTTGTCTGGCAGACATCAGGGCCTGGATGATTGAAAACTTCCGGCAGTTGAATGTGGACAAGACAGAAGCCATACTCCTTGGCTCCCGTCAACGTCTTCACCCTATGGATCTAAACTCCTCGACCTCCCTGGGCTCTCCCTCAGACTCACCGAACCAGTGAGTAATCTAGGAGTTCCCCCAGCTGTCCTTCCTCCCCCACATATGGTCCCTGACCAGGACACCTTCCTCCACCTACACCACATTGCCCACCTTCGACTGTACCTTACCCCAAATGCAGCTGAAACCCTCGTGCATGAGTTTATCACCTCCCGCCTGGATTACTCAAACGTACTCCTTGCCAGTCTCCCTAGCTCCATTATTCAAAAGATCTAGGTCATTCAAAACTATGTTCACTATAGTGTTTGTAATGGTCTATTACAAACAGTATAATGAACATAAATTCTGAAGCTGCTGGAATTTTTTGAAGAAGTAACTGGTCTAGTGAATGAGGGCTGCCCTCAAATATCATGTATTTGTATTTTCAGTGGGAATTTTTTTAATGTGAGACTTTTGAGAAGTTTGAAATGCTTGGATTAAATGGCAAATTTGTCATTAGAATGACCATTTTAGCAATTGGACCGATAAGTGACTATGGTCCTCCTTGTGAGAGGTACGTGGGGTCTTCCTGGAGCTGAGCTGGCTCTAAGATGATATGTTTGGCATTGGAATATCTCAATCAAGTCTCTGTGGAGTCCATTTCCTGACCCCGGCGGGTCTGCAAGTGTTGCAGGGCACTCCTGCTTAGCCTAGCTGCCATTCTGGCACATGTTGGTAGGAGGGGTGGGTTGGTCACTGGAAGTAAGGATTCCCAGTCCATGGCTGTTTGCAGGACACTCTGTGCACAATTGGCTGCCATGTTTCACCCACAAAGTATACATCTGAACTCCTTCCACTCTGGGCTTCCTCCCACAATGACCTAATCTCCTCGGTCACTCTCCTCCACAACTCCCTCTCTACCACTCTAGATGTCCTTGCTCACTTCCCAAACTGCCTCCTACTCCCAGAAGTCACCCTGGGAAAACCAGCCACCTCCGACTATCTCAAGGCACAGGTGCGTGCCACCAAATGCACCTGGCTAAAATCTAACTTAACAGTCAATCGGCAGATCTAACTGGACTTTATCAAAACGTACCACTCCACCTTTGCCTCCATTTAATCATCCTTCTACTCCAAGACAATCTTGGAGCCAAGGATAACCCCAGGCTCCTCTTCTCCATCATCAAACAGCTCCTCTCACGCCTCAACCATTCTCTCCTTCAATTCGAACTTCGAGGAGCTACTGGATTTTCTTGAAATCAAAGTCGAGTGAATTCGCTCAGCTGCCTCTGCCCATCCGACCACTACCCCTTCCCCATCTCCCGACCCCATCCCTACCCCCCTCCTTATCTCCCAGCTCTAACTCCTTGCCCCCACTACTCACAGACCTCGTAAAGTCCTCCCTGTCCACTGGCACTGTTCCCATCCCTTTAAAAACGGCCGTCATCACTCCTATCCTTAAAAACCTCCCTGGATCCATTCCTGCTCTCAAATTACTGCCCCATCTCCAACCTCCCTTTCTTTTCCAAAGTCTTGGAATGAATCGTTACTTCCAAGTTTCGCTCCTTCCTGTCCCGCAACTCCCTTCAATTACACTTCCAAATGGCCGGCCTCACCAATTCCTCCCGCCACAGGCTGCAGATCATCCAGAACTCTGCAGCCTGTGTCTTCTTCCACACCAGGCTCTGCGACCCCATCACCTCCATCCTCTCCTGACTACACTGGCTTCCCATCACACAGAGGAGAGTTCAAGATCCTGGTTATCATCTTCAAAGCCCTCAACAGCCTTGCTCCCTTCTACCCCTGCGACATCCTAAACCCCTATCAACCTCCCCGCTCCCTCTGCTCAGTGGACTCGGGGCTACTCCATGTCCCAGCCTCGCCTGTCCCACCATTGGCGGGTGGACCTTCAGCCACTCTGCCCCCATCCTCTGGTACTCCATCCCACAGTCCCTTCATCTCGCCCCCTCCCTTTCCTCCTTCAAGACCCATCTCAAGATCCTCCTCTTTGATCATGCCTTCGGTCACCATCCTTCCACCCCTGCCCTCCACCCTCCCCAATGCTGACCCCCAGCTTGGGTCCGAAATACTGATTGTCCAGCGCCTTGGGACGTCCTGCTGATGTGAAAAGCGCTATACAAATATAATTTTGTTGTTGTTGTTTGCACTTCTCTTAAGACCATACAGATGCAAGGTTATTTATTTGGTCAACCGGGTGTCTGACACATGCAGAAACCCTTTACTGTGCTTAAGAGTATCCAAACCAGATTGAGTTCCATGCATCCCACCTATACAAGGAAAGTCCCCTCTGTCCAGAAGGGAATGTGTGTGTACTATCTCCCCAGAGGGATACACCCTGCTTATGTAATTCCAGGGAATGTTTGGTGCAGGTAGGCAAGAGCGAAGGCTTGGCACCCCCAGAATGTGTGTTGGGAGTACTGCTGGAATTTAACCTGCTAAACCAGCTTGCCATTGAAAGCACTATCTGCCAAGCTTTCCCGCTGCTTGTCTAGCCAGCACCACCATTCCCATCAGAGCTTTGGCTTGCAGGGTTAACACAAACAGAGTGAAAATTATCCCTGCCCCCAGTGATTGGTCAGCCCATCCAGTCCTGTCAATGAGTCAGACTGGCTTGGCTGCCTGGAGTACTGCAGACCTGCTTGGCTCAGGAACCAGACAACCGAGAGTTGACTCAATTTCAACATTCGGTTACCAAACATGTCACCCTAGAGCAAATTCAGCTCTAAGGAGACCCCGCTTGCCTATCCCACAAGGAGGATTGTCAGTTGGCCAAGTGAAAGGCTAACTGATTCATTTCCAATTTTACTCATTTTTCTGTTAAGTGTATTCAACACTCCCCGATCCACAATGGTGGAAGTATTAACTGTAAACATCAGTGACTAGACTCTTTTGGGGACTGTGGCTAAAGCTGTTCAATATTGTAGATCTGTCGACATTGAGAATCAAATACTACATAATGCTGATGAAAAAGGACTCTGGGTGGTAAACTCTAAGGCCTTGAACAAACACTTACTGTTGATGTGGTCAATATAGAAGATGCCAACCTGAGGATCGTAGGCATCTTCCCAGCCCAGAGGAAGCTCATCCCCGACACAATCCGCAAACGTCAGGGGTTTGGTAAACCTGAAATAGACACAAAAGCAAAGATTGGTTTAGGTTAATAAAGGTTCCACCCTGCCCCTTCCCAGAAAATATCTTATATCCTTATATCCTAAATCCTTCACGCACTCTCCAATATTGTGCATCAACCCTGTTAAGTGCTATTTTATACAGTACCTTGCAGACAGTGCAGTCAATATTACCTCTTATGCTAAAACACACAATTATAAAAATAATAATCTTTGCATTTCATATAGTGCCTTTCACATCAGAAAGACAACTCAAAGCACTTCACAGAATTTAGTGCAAAGTGTATTGATTTTATGTTTTGTAGGTGAACTCAACAGCCAATTTGTGTACTACAATGTCTCACAAACTGCCACATTTGCCTACAAATACAGTCATTGCATTTTACAGTAAAATCACGTGAAGCACTTTGAGATAACTTGATAAGGCATTATACCAAAGGTAAGGATAATTTACTTAGTTAACATTGGTAAGCCTGAGTGAGCAATGTGAAGCGGGGGAAAAATCTGTCATCTACATCAAAGCAGATCTGAAGCAACCTCTGATTTTGCGAAACCCCACAATATCAGCTGGTGAGGGAAAGGTTCCCATTGCTCCTGTTCTAAGTCTACATTTTCCCAAGGATTTTTTTAAAAACAAAACTTCTAAGTTATTGATCAATAGTTAAAATCCATCAAAGCAAGGTGACATATTGATCTTATATACATTCCTCGTTGCAGAGCCCGGATCCAGTGATTCAAGTCACACAAGTCACAAGTGAAGCACGAATGCCCTTTGGGTAACAGTGAGCAACTCGAGCACAAAGGTCAATGAATGATATAGAAATGTGGGTTCAGCAACATTTCCATCTTACCCAGAAAAGCATCGATAAAGAGACCCACTTTACTCTGGGGATATTATAACTTCAGGTTTGGCGTTGAGATTTTTGACCGATGTGTTTATACAGTGTAAGGCAATGTGAAGTGTTGCAGTGACTGCTGTTTATTGATATGAAATTTTCAACCAAATTTGGTACATTTTATCTGCACGGCATATGTGCACACCCCTCAAAATCCAGCTATTTTCAGCTGCAGTAGACCAGGTCCATTAAAATTTCAACAACCTTGACATTCACAGTAAATGTGAACTGCATGCAATTCTTACATCTGCTTATTTTGAACAGAGTATGATCTCTCACTATGTTATTTTGCTCAATACTTGGTAAAAAAATAAAGTAATAATCCTTGCATTTGTTATAGTGCCTTTCACATTAGGGGACGTCACAAATCCTTCACAAAATTTACTATAAAATGTAGCAACTGTGTATTTTGTTGGCGAATATTTTGTAAGTCTTGCATGCACTCTCAATATTGTGCATTAACCCGATTAAGTGCTATTTTATACAGTACTTTGCAAACAGTGTAACCACTATTATCTCTTACCCTAAATGGCATGATTTTAAAAATAATAATCTTTCCACTTGATATCGTGCCTTTCACATCAGACTCAAAGCGCTTTACAGAATTTATTGTAAAGTATTCTAACTTTGTGTGGCAGCGAATTTGAGCGCAGCAATGGCCCACAAACAGGCATGAACTGAGTGACACAATTTTATTTGGAAGAATTGTTTCCAGGTGAAGAGGAAAGACATACTGATCTTCAATCTTCAAACTTTAGAATCTTCAAGCACTGGTTACACTTGCTTACAGTTTAAATGTTGAACCTGGTTCATATATAAATTTGTCAACACAGAGATAACTCTTATGGCCTCATAAGTCACAAGAGGTTCAGATGAATTATTAAGTAAACCCTTTGATCCATTTAATTTTATTCGTCCACATTACCAACTCTACCAGCCTTCTATTATACCATCAAGTGTTTGTTAGATGAGCCTTACATCCTGTCCTGTAGCACTTTCTGTTAACCAGTTCCAGCTGGTTATTCTCCTCCTTGCACAAAAATAATTATTTGTATCTGTCCTAAAATTAACTTTCACGATCCTGTGTCTTCTTGTCTTGCTCCCTTAGAATATCTGAGTTAGTGGTGACACAATGAGGGTGAAAATATCCCAGACAAATGCCAGTCTTTAAAAAACGGCATTAAAATAGTATTTTGAAACATCCCTCAATTTCTGAACAATGTCAAACCAGGCAGCTCTGGGTGTCATCATCTTAGATTCCTTTTTAGTGGAGAATTATTTTGAGAGCCAATAATTGACTGATCCAAACCTACTCAGTGGACACTGGCTATACTCAATTCAGTTAGGGTAGTTTCCCATGAATAATAATAAAAAAAATCCCTACATTTAATATAGCATGTTTCAAGTTGGGAGGACGCCTCAAAGCACTTCATAGGAAATTCTGTAAAGTGTAGTGACTATGTATTTGATGGGCAAACACAGCAGACAAACTGGGCACAGCAATGTCGCACAAGCAACAACAACAACAAGATTACATTTGTATAGCGCCTTTCACGTCGAGAGGACGTCGCAAGGCGCTGGACAGTGTACAGCATTTCAAACTTGAGCTGGGATCAGGGGGGGAAGGGAGGGGAGGGGAAGGGGGATGGTTGATGGCTTGGCCGAAGAGGAGGGTCTTGAGGCGGGACTTGAAGGAGGCTAAGGAGGGGTCGAGGCGGAGTGACTGGGGATGGAATTCCAGAGGTTGGGGGCAGAGTGGCTGAAGGCTCTCCCGCCAATGGTGGGGCGGGTGGGTCAGGGGACGTGGAGCAGGCCAGAGCCGGCTGTGGGGAGGGAATGGGCAGGTTGGTAGGAGGTTAGGAGGTCGCAGAGGTAGGATGGGGTGAGGCCATGGAGGGCTTTGTAGGTGAGGACCAGGATCTTGAACTGGATCCTCTGAAAGATAGGGAGCCAATGGAGTCGGGTGAGAGTGGGGGAGTTGGGTCACGGAGTTTGGTGCGGGAGAGGACATGAGCTGCAGAGTTCTGGATTATCTGCATCCTGTGGAGGGAGGAGTTGGGAAGGCGGACAAGCAGGGCGTTTGCATAGTCGGGCCTGGAGGTGATGAAGGCATGAACAAGAGTTTCAGCGGCCTGAGGGGTGAGGTAGTGGCGGAGTCGGGCAGTGTTACGGAGGTGAGGGAAGGCAGAGCAGGGTTGTGGCTTGAATGTGGGAGAGAAAATACATTTGAGGGTCGAACAAGACACCTCGGTTCCTGACTGGCTGGTGAGTTGTAGTGAGAAACCATGGAGGTTGATGCTGCCAGAGCCTGAGGTGCTGAGGCGCTGGCGTGAGCCAATCAGGAGGGCCTCAGTCTTGTTCACATTCAACTGCAGGAAATTTGCCCTCATCCAGGACTTGATGTCCGACAGACAGTCTGTCAGGACAGCAGTGGTCCTGGGGTTGAGGGTGGAGGCAGAAAGATAGAGTTGGGTGTTATCCGCATACATGTGGAAGTTGACCCCATGTTCTGCGGATGATGTCACCAAGGGGGAATATGTAGATATTAAAGAGGAGACAAACAGCCATGAAATGAATGACCAATTTTATTTTGTGGATTGTTGGCCAGGGCACTAGACAAAACTCCCCTCCCTTTTCAAATAGTGTCATGGGACCTCATCTTAACAATTCATCCATAGGACAGAACTAGCCTCCAACAATGAAGCACACCCTCACCACTGCACTGGATTACCAGAATAGACGACATGAGTTCCAAGTCCCAATGTGGGGCTTGAACCCACAACCTTCTGATTCACAGGCAAATGTGCTATCAACTGAGCCAAGCTGGCACACACAAATAAGAAAAGGTTTGAAAGCAAGGTCTGGGTGGAAAGAAGCAGCTTTGAACAATGAAGAACGACACTCATTTCTTAAAACTTTACAACATTATTGGAAAATTCTTAATACAAATATTATTTCTCGATGATTATGCAGTACTTCGTTTAAATTTCTCGTGGTAAAGAAACTTATGTCAAAAATGATATTTTGAAGAAAAAAAGTTAAACAAGTGATTCCAGAAGGTGGAAAGTGCGATCGGATGGGATGTCACTTTTACCAAAAAATGCTTGCATAAAAACTGCTTTGATCGGGTTACATGTTTTAGTAAGTTTACTGCCCAAATTCCACAAAGCCACATCCTGCTCTGTGCCCTCCCAGACTTCAAATGTGCAATTGTGCAATTGCGAATGTTATTTTTAAAAAAACTAGTGATGTCCTGGACATTTTGTTACAGAAAGCATTCAAAAGCACTAAACTACAACATTCCTTCATAAAAATGGCTGTCGTTTTCGCTCATAAAATATACAGTCAATTCACTTTACGGTATATTCTGTGAAGCACTTTGAGATGTCTCAATGACGTGATAAGGTGCTACATCAAATGCAAGGATTATTATAAATTAGTGTGAAACCAATAACTCGCTCAACAGCATGAGGATAATACAATGGTGTCTGAACAAAATATACAGCAGAAAAGGGAAGATTTCTAATCTTATTTAATCCCATGCTCTCTTGTAGGTGGTCACTCGAGTGGTTCAAGTTCATGAGTCTTCTTATTACTTTGCTTGAATGACCTTTCTTCACTTGTGAGCAGCAACACATGAATGGCCAATTGCGTCTTTCCCAGACAGTCCCATGTAATAATAATCCTTAGATTTGGTATAGCGACTCTTACTTCTTTTTTGCGAAGAATCTCAAAGCATTTCACAGGATTTACTGTGAAGTCTCAAAATGGTGTATTCTGTAGGCGAACGTAACAACCAATTTGCACACAGCAATAGACCACAGACAACCATGGCCAATTCAATCTTGAGGATTGTTGGCCAGGTCAGCAGAAGAAACTCCACTTTTTGACTAGTGCCATGGGATCATGTATACTTTTCAGCAGAGATCAATGGCCAATGATCAGAAATGGGAATGCTAAATGATAATGTCCTTCCTCATCAAAGATCACTGAGGCTAACTTCTCACCATTGTCCCAATTTAAATCAGCTCACTGAGTACTGTATACTTTTCTGGTCTCTATAGAGCAGTAAAGCACTAGGTGGTGCTATTACTCCTGGAGTCTTATTTTTATATTGGCATTTGCTTCTCTCCAGATTGCAATCCCTGCTCAATTCACGCCAGCGTGAACTTGGCAGTATGGATGGGGCATCTGTCTGCAATTATTGACACTGGGGAGTTCCACTAATATTGAACTCACTGTGCAGAGTGCTCCAGGTTAGAGAACAGTACAAAGATACATGATTGATTTACAATTCTCTGGATTCAAAATAAACCTTTTCAATAGGAAACAAGCCGTGGGCATCTAATTGTATAAATGTACAATCATATTCTATAATGTAATGTAATTAACGTAGGATCCATGTATCCAATTAGACTACTGTATTAAATTGCATGACATTGCTGTACTGTTTAGTAAGTACTGACCATACCTTAGAGTCACAAGAGGTGAGCCTCAGCTACAACCACGACTTGGATTTATATACTGCCCTTCACGCCGGGTAGCATCCTGGAGCACTTAACAGTGGTGGAGTCTGATCCCAAGCCAGGGGGAGAGGGAGATGGGAGATGACCATAAGCAGAATCAAAAAGGAAGGTCATTAGGCAGTATTTGAAAGTGCGGAGGGAGGGGGAAGGCCGAACGTTTGGGGCAGTGAGTGGCAGAGCTTCAGGGCATAGTGACTGAAAGCACAGCCGCTGATGGTGGAGTGGAGGGGGAGAAGGACGAACAGGAGCTGGCTGAGTGAAGGCAGCTAGTGGTGGAGTGGGGGTGAGTAAGTGGGCAAGGTAGGGAGGTGCGAGGGCATGAAGGGAGTTGAAAACGAGAGAGAGGATCTAGATGTCGATCCGTTTGGAAATTGGGAGCCAGTGCAGCCTGGCAAGGACTGGTGTGATGGGGATCCAGAATTTTGTGCGGGTTAGTATCCGGGCAGCGGAGTTCTGAATTAATTGTATTTTATGTATGGTGGAACTGGGGAGACCAGATATTTAAGGAGGTATTTGAAAAGTCCAGCCGGAAAGTGGCAAAGGCGTGGACGAGGGTTTCGTCTGCTGTGGGTGTGAGGTATGGACAGATGTAGGTAATGTGGAAGACGTGGAAAAAAGCAGTCCTGGCCAGGGAACGGATGTGGAGAAGGAAGGAAAGCTGGGGATCAAACTTGATGCCTAGTTTGGGCATGGGCTCAGTGAGTCTGAGTGAGTGTCCAGGGAGGTTGAGGAGTTCAGACCTGCAGGAAAGAAGACAAGAGCCAAAAAGTATGGCTTCCATCTTTCAGACATTCAGCTGCAGGAGATTTGTGCTCATCCAGGCCTTGATGGTCATCAGACAATCTGACAGGACATCAGTGGACTGGGAGATGCAGCTGGATGAGGAGGAGATGTAGATTTGGGTGTCACCAGCATACATGTAGAAGTTGACCTCAGGTCTGGGGATGACATCGCCAAGAGGAAGCATGTACGTGATGAAAAGAAGAGGGCCTTGGGGTACCCTGCAGGTGATTGGGTGCAGGTGGAAGGAGAACCCGTTTCCTGCGATGTATTGTTAGTCAAGTAAAACTAGAACCATGTGAGTGGGGTCCCATGAAGGTGGATGAGGGAGGAGAGATGGTGGAGGAGGATGATGTGATCGACTGTCGAATGCGGCAGAGAGGTTGAGGAGAATGAGGAGGCAGAGGGAGCTCTGGTCACAGAGAGAGAGAACGTCATTTGTTTCAACTGTAGACAACAACTTGCATTTATGTGCGCTAAGGACATTACCATGTCCTTACCGACAGGTTTGGGACTGGTTTGCCGAAAAACAATTCTGTCAGTCGGGGAGGTGCTTTCAGCCCTAAACCACTCATTAAGTACAGGATAAAAACAACCGCAAATTCTGTAATTTATTATAGTTCTCATACACTGCATATTTCCACCCAGGAAGTGATCACCTGAAGGAGATTCCATACAAACAGAAACACGTTGCTGCACAAATAGTTGTTTTTCAAATCTGAATGATTCACAGGCCACAAGTTGAACATATCTAGGTCAGTCATAAGTTCAGCAATATAATAATCTCCCAGGAGACACATCAGTTCAGGTTTTTATCTCAGGTTATAATAATAACAATCCTTGCATTTGCTATAGCGCCTTTCACATCAGGAGAATGTCTTAAAGCGCATCACAGTATATACAGTACTGTAAAGTGCACTGACTATATTTGTACGCAAACACAGCAGCCATTTGTGCACATTAATGTCCCACAAACATTCATAAAATGAATGATCAATTATATCTGGGTGGGTGATTGTTGGCCAGGTTAATTCCCTCTTTTTGTAAATCATTTTCTTCCTATGTTGGTGTCTTTTCAAGGTGCCGTATACAGTACTATTTTCACTAAATAAACAGGCGGGTGGACAATATAATTCATTATTCCATGAGGTTCCTGAAACAGGAAGGTAGGAAGTGTGTTAGGATAGAATGACATTACTCCCCCCTCTAACTTCCCCCAATGCAATGACCCAGTTGAGGTGGGGAACATTGCCATGTTAGCAATTGGGTCTGATCAATTTTGAATACTGTGTTATTTGCTCCTCCACTCCACGCACACTCTACTTACTCCTTTGAAACGCGTAACAAATTTGGTCTCAAATGGAAACTGGTTTTACAAAGAACCAGCACTGCTGAACATAAAGTTGTGCTTTAAGCCTGTTCAATTAGCCATTTTGTCCCAAGCAGTCTCTCCTTTACTCTCACAAGCTTTGCCTGGCTCCTAAGGGAACTGTTGTTTACTTCTGCATTCCTGCCAAGCTGGAATCTGTACTCGGTTATAAATATCCACAATAAATGTTAAAAATTAGACATGTGGAATGTCAGGAATGTTCGATAGCCATGCACAACACAGCAACCCTTCATCAGCCGTAAATAAAATAACATGCCCTTTGATCCCCTGAGGTGCCACAGTCTCCCACCAATTAGAAGGCTTCACAGTAATGCACGTTTGGTATGCTGAAGTATTAAGAAATAATTTTAGAAAATGTTTACCTTGTTGGATATCAGAGAGAGAGGTTAATGTTTAACCTGATAAGGTATTTTAACAGTTCATATAACAATGATTTTCAGTTGTTAGAGCACCTGATGAATGCGGAAAGGTTTTACTTACATGAGCCCTAGCACAACAATGCGAATGGAAGATAAACCTTGGTCAAGTTATTTTGTCTGTACTGTGAGAAACACCATACTGTAGTATTTGTTAAACTGAGTATTTAATTTCTATTTAAAAAGGTGTACTCCCTTGCAGGTAACTCGCAACCTCCTCCAGATCATATTCATATAGTGGTGCAACTGAGATACTGATGTGTGGGAACTCGCCTGCTGCTACATTAATCCTAGAACTCTCATAGAGAACACTGGTAGTCCAATGCTTCGTGTCACTGCCCTGTCCAGATTGTGCAAGAGTGTTGACTGAAGTAAAATCAATTGGGGAAATTTAAAAGGAAAAAATCTTCCATTTGATATAGTCTTTCACACTGGGATGTGATTCAGAGCATTTACTGTAATGGGTAGTGACTGTATATCTTTTAGCGAATGGGGCAGTCAAATTTGCTCACATCAATGCCCCAAAACAATCATGAAGTGAATGATCAATTTTATATTGGGGAGGATTATTGGCCAAGATACTAGGAAAGGCTCCCTTCTCTCAGATTGTTAAAGAAAATTAGATAAGCACACACGGTGGAAGGGTATTAGAGGGAAGTGAATTTGAGGGAAAGGTATTAGAGGATGTAGAAAAAGAGCAGCAGACTGGGATTAGGATCGATTATTATATCGGAGGAGCAATCACTGAAATAATGCAAGTCAAATGACTTTCTATCAGGTGACAGATTTTTAAGGTTTCTATAGTTCTATGGACTGAGAATTGTACACCTACATCAGCCATTCATGAGTTACACTGAGCCTTGTTTATCGCTGTATCAGTCACTGGGTAAACTGGAGTTTGTTTCAGGGAACACATTTTGAAATGGTAATTGGGTAATTTGGTAAAGGAAACAGTGCCACTCGCACACAAGATCTGTCAAAACATTTATGTTCCAATCTTTTCCCCAGTGTTATCCTATCTTATTGCTGGGGAAAGAACTTTTACAATATATATGATCTATTTTAACATCCTTTAAAAGCTGATAGACTGATGAGTCAAATCTCCCATTCATCATTTCAGGATTCATGAAGGGTTATTTTCTGAAATGCTACGCTGGTGAGATAGAGAATAGAAGAAATTTATGCCTTTTAGAAAGTCCTATCGGAACTTGTATAGAGTGGAGTGAGAGGCTGGCTGTAGGACACAACATTAGAGCGTGGGGGTTCTCTTCTTCAATGCAATCCATTAGTGAGGAACTTTTAGCCATTCTGCCCCCACTCGGAGATCTTCCAACTTGCCCCCTCCCACCTCCCACTTTTAAAGGCCAGGTTAAGATCTCTCCCTTCGACTGCACTTTCATTCATCCTTCACTCCCTCACCTCAGCTCCCCTTCTCATTGCACCCCCCCACACCCCCCGCCCCATAGCAATGACAAATTAAAGTTTTTACCTTGTGCTGTTTAGAACCAATTTTTGAAATTTGTCTTTCAGGTTACAAAAGTAGAACAATGTGTAATCTGGGCAATGGAAGAACCTATATGATCTGCGAGTCTGTAACAAAGAGTCGTAATGTAAGGATTATCACCAGAAGGAAAAATTTTCATTTGGAAGAATTTATGTTAAATAGAGGGCTTTCATAATACAGAATGCTTTACCATACAGAGTTGTTGAAGGCTGATACCACTTTTGTATTTAAAAGCAAGTTGAATAAATACTCAATGAAAAAGAATCTAAAAGGGCCCAGGGAAAAAACAGGGGAATGAGAATAACTTAGAAAGCTCAAGTGGGGAGCGAGCACCAGCACAGATGTGAGAGGCCAAATGGCTTCCTTATGTTTTTTTAATGGCTGAATTTTTATTCACTCTTTCATGAGTCCAACACCCTTGGTCTCAACCCTTCTTGTTGACAAGCTGTGTAATAATTCTCAATCCAAAGCATGGGTTTGTTAGTAAATATCTTTAGCCGCAGGACTCCAATTCATCAACCAGAAGCACACCCGTTTCTCCCACTCCCAGTGTTCTTTTGTACTTCCTGTCTTTATCTCATTAGCTCTTTCTTAATTGCTTTTTAGTTCAAGGGATATCCTATAACCTGTTCCAGTTAATTATTCCTTGTGTAGGGTATTTGAGATGGATGCATAGAAACTATATTTATAAAATAATTTGATTGTCAACAAAGTTTCAAATTTAAATAATATTTTCCTTTATTACAAAATACGCATTGTGTCTATTCTGAAATTACCCTTTGCAACAATAGATCTATGTCATCTTATTTTACTGCCTTGTACATCTGAAAGTATTGTTCCTGGTTCACATTTTTAATTCCATTTAAATTTTACACTCTATAAAGTGAGATGCCAGTTTCTCAAGACTGAAGAGCCTCAACTTATCTAACTGTTGTTCAACACAACAACAAAATTACATTTGTAAAACACCTTTCACTTCAGGAGGATGTCCCAAGGTGCTGAAAGCTCATTCCTAAAAATAGCTTTAATTATCTTTCAGTATCTTTTAAAAATCCGCCTCACCACTTCTCTTGCCTCCTCCAAGTCCCCTCTTAAGACCTTCCTCTTCGATTGTGCCTTCGGCCACCTTCCCAGTTGAAATCAGGAAATCGATGTGTGGCATGTGTGTGTAGGAAGGCGAAGAAGGAAGAACTATGCATCGTACCACAGTAAAGTGGAACCCTGTGTGATCAAGCCATTCGGCCTGGCAAGAGCTTTGCTTCCTGTCTACCAGTGTTGGAAAAAAATGATTTTGCAACCACAGCTCATACCTTTAAAACCAGCTGTTAAACAAATTAGATGTTTAACTGGTAAGCAAGACTGAAATAAATTGGCTTTAAAATAAATGTGCAAAGCATAGCAGGTGCACTGGGCTCCTAATGTTTTGTTTAACATGCTTTCGAATTAGGAACTGTACTGTATGTGAAGGTGGAGTATGTGGGCCGTGCAAATTCCTTAACCATCATTACCGTTAAACCAAAGGGTGATCCTTTTATACAACTTTTTCCACTGACTGACAGCTCCTGACCCTTCCATTCTACTCCATTATTCTAATGGCTTGCTGTCATGTGTGCATAGAAGCTGCTATTAATCACAAAAGGAATTCAGGAGGTGGGGAGCTTAGACTGCATTTGGCACTGTGAATGGGGAAAGTGCTTCTAACATCCCAACTACCAAGCCTTCTCGCTATTGACTGGAAATCCTATATTATATATATTTGCTGCCAAGTGTTAAAATAATGTATGAATGTTTGTTGCTCGTGCACTGATGGGATGTTTTAAAATTGTGGAGGTGAAACTCGCATACAGCGATTGGTACCAAGTTTCTTGTTTCTCCAA